CTTTCTTCATTAATTTCCTAGTGATAATGCTGACAACAACTCCAGAATCTAGGATAGTAGCTATAGGACTTCCTTTAATTCTGATATAACAACGAACAGCTATAGATTTGTCTTCCTTTTCTTCTTCACTTTCTTGATTAGCATAATTTGTTTCTTGAATTTTTGGTCTCCTTAACCTTTGAGCAAGATTACGTCTTTGATTTGGATATTGTAAAAGTTGACCAATTTTTGCAAAAAAAGGCATTTGCAATAAGTCTTGCATAGCATTATAGGAAGGCATCTGATTAATTTAGGATAGTCCTCATTTGATTTTCTTCTTTGAAGTAAAGGTAGTAATTTGTGGGGTTTCTACTTCCATTAATTCGTCGATAGGTTTTCTGCTTCTCAAGTTTAATTCTCTTCTAGATTCAAATTGTTTTTTCCTTTCTGCTTCTAACTGTCAAGCAGTTTTTTTGTTAGTGATATAAGGTTTATTTTGTGAGAGAGCATAAACTTCTTCCTCTTCTACTTCTTCAAATTCTTCTTCTTCACTATTAGTAAAAATTCCAACATAACTTGCTTCCCTTTTATCAGATTTTCTTTGGTATACTGATTTTTCAGACATGCATTCCTTGAAATAATGTTCTTTTTCTTGACAATAATAACAAATAACATTCTTCTTATCCTAAGTTTTTGTATCCTAAATTTTCGTAAGATTTCTATTATCTTTTGGCTTTCTTCTTTCAGGTTTTCCTTCAAGTTGTGCAGATAATGCATCAGAGAGAGTTGCATAGTTTAAAGATAATTGCTCCATTTGTTTAGTAAGATTATCAATAGCATTATTGTTTTCATTTGGTTAAGTTGATACAGGGGATTGCTGTTCATAATATTGACCACTCTTAACTTGTTTAGCTACGTCAATAGCTTTATCTATATTTTTAGGATGAGAAAATGCTACAAAAGGAACAATATTCTTTCTTAATCCATTAAGAAAAAGTCTCACATTATATTTATCTAGTAAGGCATTGATAGAGTCAACTTTCTTCAACAATCTTTTAAATTTTTCTGCATAAAAATTTACTTTTTCATAGGGTCCTTGATGAAGTGTATTTAGCTAATAATGTCATAGATTTTGCTTTTTTTCAGTTGAGAATTTTTCTAGAAACAATAATACAAAACTTGATGTAGCATAACCATCCGCATTCTATCGTATAATGTTATCAACATTTTCTTCAAACCAGTATGCAGCTAATCTATGCAGGTATCCTGATATAATTTTCAGCATGCGAGTTTTAAACTAATTGTTTACTTCAGCAGCAATTTCAAAACTTCTAATCCAATCGTTAGGGTCATCATCATTATTTCCATAAAAAGGTTTTACCAAAATAATATTACTTTCTTTTAGGGTGATATTATCACTATCTCTACTTGAACCAGATGGTGTACTCTTAATATCTTTAGCAAGGTCCTTAAAACTTTTCGTCATGTGATCTATGAAGTTCTTTAACTGTTCAATATTCATTGTCATTTCAGTCGATTCAGATGTTGTAGATGTGGGAGTAAGAGATGTAATAGAAGTATTAAAAGATTTTTCAAAGCACTCAGTAGTGTGGGTGACTAATAATAAATATTGTAAAACGGAAGGTAAATCAGCAGGGTATAAGTAATAATTTACAATATAATAATGCGACTACTGCTTTTGTTGTTTTATTACTATTATAAATATTTTTACGATAGCTATCTAAATAAAGTTTAAATGCTATTAAAGAATAATCACTGAATGCTGTAGTATTATATTCACTAGAGATCCAATTCCAAAAGTTTGTAAAATTCTTTATTACTGTTTAAGTAATAGGATTGTACTTTACATAAGATACATCTTTTTCTAAAGGTGAATTATTTCTGTATGCTTCTTTATGATGTTCTTAAATTATTTTTAAAATATCAAGACTAGTAGGTATATTCATATAAGTTTAATAAAGATAATTATAATCCTAGCAAGAATTACTAATTTGTTAACCCTATACTCAGCCCATTGAACTTAAGGTAACTATGACTTAATAATAAGGAGTAACGTACGAGAAACTACTAAGTTACTGTGAAATAAGTCTTATTTCAAACAACCTTAGGTTTATACTTTTAGACGAGTAAATAACTTTAACAATTTGTAAACATGATAAATACAATTAACATGTTAAAGGATTTTTAATATGTATAGTTTAGAAAGAGATTTCTTTATTGTAGAGATTTGTATCCTTAGTAATCCTTAACCTTAGATTCTAAGTCTTAAACTCAAACTATTGAGTTATCACTGTTATTTCTACCCTTTTGTAAGGACAGATTTCTATCCTATTTATACAAAAATACAATTATAAAAAATTTACTATCTAATGCTAAACTATTTTATAACGATAAGATAACTATAATAGATAAATTATAATTTAACAATAATACTAATATAATAAATAATAATAATAAAATATAAGAATAAGATAAATTAAATAAAAATGTTAACTAAGTTAAAAATGCTAATGATATTAATAACATTGATTATTTATCAATCTTTGTAATGCAGTAAAATTGACTTCAGATGGTATTAACATTTATCAGAGTTTAAAAAATTTAATTAAGGGTAGAACAATTGCTTTAGATTCATTCGTCCCTTTAGATATCCTTGAGAAATATCATCACATTTTAAATAAATATAATTTTCTTTATTTGAACTAACTTTTGGATAAAAACAGACGTTTTCTATTGAACTGAAATAAAATTCATAATTGAGATTGTTATAGTAATATTTTAAATAAAGAATACAATATACCTACTATTTACTCTTATATAACTAGTTTAATTTTAGATAGTATAGATAGAAAAGAAGTAAAATCTTTATTAAGATTAGCTAATACTAATAATAGTTATATAAATAGTAATAATTTTATAGATATTAGATTAAACGATGTATATAGAAGAGAATATGTAATAATTTATAATACTTTTCATAATTAGATTATCATCAGAAGAATAGTTAAAAGTTGAAATCACGGTAGTATAACATTTTATTAAATCAGAAAAATACTTACAACTTAGCAATAATAAATCTATTACTCATTGTTAAGACTGTAACTTGAACAATAAATACAGTTTCTGACAAACACAAAAAACTATGTAAAGCTCTTTCTACAATATGTATCTAAATCTACAATATTGATGCTACTATAATTATAGAAAAATGCACAAAAACTCATTTAATAAAAGGAAATTACATTATAAATAAATCTTTAAAAATATAGTTGTATTATATACCTATTAAATCAAATGTAAATCTTTTGTTATTTGTGCTCTTTCTTAATGTTCAAATAATACTTCTATTTTTCTACATGCATTTTATAATAATGAATTATTGAATAACAAACTTATTAGAGAATTTCTATTAAATAATACGTATTAATAGAAACTTATTAATGTATCAAAATATATAATAGATCTAATAATACTTTCCTATTATACTGATAGCTCTCTAATCAATTCTTTTCAATTAACTGTAAAATAGGTATAAGATAGATTTGTCCTGAACTTATTTAAGCTTCTCAATACTCATTTTTAGCATTAATTCTAAATTCTCTTTCTTCAACATGTGCAGAACTTTTCACATTATTTTAGTAATTATTATCTGTTCTTATCTATCTTAATCACTGTATTTCTAGATAGTCAGGTGGTAATTGATAGTTTTGACAAATTCATCATCAAGAAAGATATTACTATTAGAAGCAGAAAAAAAATTTTCAATTACACGATATAGGTTATGATTCAACATGTGATAAATGTACTCCAATTACAAATATATCTTATCAAAATAAAAGAACACTCTGGTGATTTTTATAATGATAAAGCTGATATTCTAGCCAAAGCAGGATGTTTTAAACCTCATCTTAATATTGATTATACAGTTTCTGACAAGTTAAAAATTCAATTTAATTTACCAGAATATTCTATTGAATCCTTGGCAAAACTATTTTGAAAAAATTTTAACACAGCTTCCCAGTTTTCACCTTTTTAGATCTTTATAAAAATACTTCATTAGCTCAATACACTACTTCTTCATTAATAGACCAGTCAGCTTCTTTTACGTTCTTTTCTTCTGGCGATCTATAAATAACCCAAAAAATTTACAAAATTTAATAAATAAAAATGCTATGAAATAAATTTTATAGAAATTGGAGAAAATGATTTAAATATAATAGTATAATAAGACTTTTAGAATTAGTTATAAATTATTTTTACGAGTTTTAAAAAATAATTTTTATTGAATGTATAAAATAAATAAGTTATTTTAATTCAATTAAAAAAAAAAATTGGCATATTGTAATTGGTTAAAATAGATTTTTTATAAGTTGTCTGAAGTTGGAATTCAGATAACAAAAAGAATGTCTGAAATTGGAATTCCAATTTCAGTTAACTGAACTTGGAATCTCAATTTCACACACCCGAAGATCGTCTGAATTCCAACTTCAGACGAAAATCAATTTCAATCACATCAATATTGATATATCAATATAATAAAAACGGCCCCATAGTTCCTGCATGAAGCTAACCATTCCTTCCTTTTTGGGAACGGCCATAGCTTCCACTATATAAAGTAGAATCACCTGACACCAACATCTATATAGCATGAAAAAGAAATTTAAGAATACATTGACTCATGCTTCATTTGTGATAAATATTTTTGCCTTTCAATTACCTTGTTTACCTTATTATTATTATGAGATATTGTTAGAGTCAACTTGTATATGAAGATCTTAACGAAGAATGTGAACATTCCAAAAATATCATTCATTTAATCAATAGTATTTGCAGATCCATGTCATGTACAGTAGAATCTTATTATTCAATGAATATTCATTGAAGGTAATATAGCGTGGGAACGCATTTCATTTCTTAAAATATCTTTATATACGCAACAAATTCTTCCGATCCTATAAGAGAATTCGCAAAAGTTCTTAATCACTCATCGAAATTCAAATATGTCACAATTGCTTTCAACACAATATTATGAGAGTTTAGAATTCTTCAAAAATAAATTTGTAGGTCCTGAGAAAACCATGGAAGAAGCAAAACATGTAATGGATGATATGGCCGTGCCAATTCCTGATAATATTATCGTGAATGAGATTAAATTGGATAAAAGATATAGGATCAAAAGCAAGGAATATTTAGAGAATGGCTTGAAAAAGTACGAGGACGTTGTGGATGAGAAGTGGAAAAATTTGGATGATGGAGGGTTATGCGGAGAGTGGATTAGAGTTAAGGATGAAGGGGAAAAGAGTGATGGAAGTAATCTTGGAAAAATTAAGGTTACAGGAAGGGTGGCGCTTTATTTGTT